GATTAAGGTCAACATATAATATTTGTAAATCTGACTCTGAAAGAGTCAGTGCCTCACCAGCCATGAACCTCACCGCACGTCACTGCTGGATTGAGATTTTGATATCATGGGTTTAATACACATATCTCTTTATATCTCAACAAAAACCATCCCCCCCACAACACACTCCACTCTCACCAACTGTCTCTCAGAAATAAAAGCATGGATGCAAACAAACTATCTCCAACTGAACAGTGCCAAATCAGACATCATCATCATCGGCCCCCCATCCCGTCCAAAGCCATCCAGAATTTCAACTTCACCATTGACAGCCACACTCTATCTCCCCCCCCTCACATCCGCAACCTCAGTCATCTTCGACAGTCAGCTCAAATTCAACCACCACATAAATCACATCACCAGGACCGCCTTTTTCCACCTCAAAAACATTGCCCGTCTCCGCCCATCACTCTCCTCCTCTGCTGCTGAGACCCTGATTCATGCATTCATCACTTCACGACTCGACTACTGCAATAGCATCCTCTACGGCATACCATCCAACCTAATCAATAAACTCCAACATATCCAGAACTCTGCTGCCCGCCTCCTCACCCACACCCGCTCCCGAGACCACATCACTCCCGTCCTCCAGAACCTCCACTGGCTCCCCGTCCGTCAAAGAATCGACTTCAAAGTCCTCCTCATTACTCACAAAGCCCTCAACAATCAGGCCCCCCCCTACCTCACAGACCTGCTGCACCACCACACCCCTTCCCGCTGCCTCCGCTCATCAGAAGCCAAGCTCCTATCCATCCCCACCCACATCAATCACCGGACCTGGGGGGACAGAGCCTTCTCCGTCGCTGCCCCCTCCCTCTGGAACTCACTCCCCCAACCCATCAGAGACTGCACTGACCTCACCACCTTCAAAACACTCACAAAAACTCACCTCTTCAATCTGGCTTTTAATGTGTGATTGTTTTTGTATTATTTGACTTAACTTTAACTATATATTTATATATATAGCTTTATATATTTATTTGTTGTTCCTTCCTTTTCTTTTCCCTTCACTATATCTGTAAAGCGTCTTTGAGCACCTGTAAAAGCGCTAACAAATTAAATCTATTATTATTATTATATGCGCACTAAATTACTGCTATCGTGTCAGTAGCGGGACCTTAGCATATATATAGGATATATATATAATATACAAATACACAATATTGGACACAGACTATAAAGGGCACAAAGTTTCTTTCACTAATGAAAGTCAAACACATTGCTTATCGCGACAGGCCTATGCACACAATAAAACAGTGACTTATCGTACGATAAATAAAAATGAACTCGATAAATTGCCATTTACATGAGGATGTAACTAGCAGTTTGAAAGGATGTACTTGAATTATTATTATCATTATGTCAGTGGTCTAAAATGGTCATACAACGGTGCCGACAATATTATCGTTTATCGCAATAATTTCCGGGAAAATGTATCCAACAAAATTAATCATCGTGAGAGCTACACATGAAAACACACACACAGACAAATCTACAGACTTACTCCAAACTCTCATATCATATACTCTTTGACTCTATTTTGGTCTAGTAGAACAATAAGCAGCGGACTTTTACTTTGTTATCATTTCTACTGAATCTGCGCATGCGCAATGCGGGTCGGAGATTGACCAACCGGCTCCCACTGCTCTGCTGTCTGTTAACGTTGTTAAGAGTGGTGGGGGCGGGGAAGGAGCGGATCCACAGCTCGAGCAGCTGTCAACTCAACATTGTAAATAACCAACCAAAAACGATCGCCGGTTCATCTTGTTTTGGGCGTGAGAATAGTTTGGGCAGCGTGAGAGCGTGAGATTGAGAGTGAAAGCGTGTGTCACACGCCAGATGCGTGAGAGTTGGCAACCCTGATGAATATTATTAATTTCCGATCTCTTAGCTTTTAGCAATATTGCAACATCAACAAAGGAGAAACTGATTATTTTCTAAGTCTGATGTTATTGTTTAATCTCATGTGTTTACTATTTAAAAACAAATGGGTGGAAACGCTTTTGCAAATCATTCGGCAAAATCTTCAAAAAGCTCCTGAAAAAATATTTGATCATAAACACAGAAAGGAAACATTTGTGATCAGACTTTTAAAAAAAATTGATTGACAGAAGTTTTTTTTTGTTGCCTGCATCTCAGGGCTTCTGTAGATTTATGACAACATGCCTGCCATGTAAGAGATTACTTGCCAACACACGTGTGCATCGGATGTTAGCATTTAGCTCTACAACTGCTGTGCCAAAGTCATAGAGCTGCTAGAATGGCTTCAAATCTTGTGAACAAACTCAATATTTGTGCTTTTGAATAATCCAACCAACCTCTGTCTTTTGCAATCTATGACATTCAGGCTGTTTCGTGTAATCTTGATGACTAGGTAACACTCACCTCGTTTTAACTCCCATCTCTTTTCTCTTTCTGTCCTTCCCTCCCAGGTCTCAGTAACATCATAGGAATTATTGTCTACATCTCAGCAAACTCGGGTGACCCGGGCCAGAGCGACAGCAAAAAGTCCTACTCCTACGGCTGGTCCTTCTACTTCGGCGCCCTCTCCTTCATCATGGCGGAGATGGTGGGCGTGCTTGCCGTGCACATGTTCATCGAGAAGCACCGCAAGCAACGGGCCAAATCCCGCACCGAGCTCATCAAAAAGTCCACCTTCAGCCGCATCCCTTCCTATCGCTACCGCTTCCGGCGTCGCTCCAGCGTTCGCTCTTCCGAGGCCCCCAGCCGCGACACCTCACCTCTGGGGAAGGGCGGCTACACAGGGCCCGCCGCCTCCGAGATGCCCATGTACACGCTGAACCCGCGCGAGGCAGGCAACGCCGGCTCCAAACCGGGCAGCGGGATGGGCGGGCTGCTCAACTCAGAGCGGGAGTTCCTCCAGAGCAGCACGCTCACTAAAGACTACAGCAAGGACCCCAACCGCAGGACCACGCCGGTGTGAGAGGTGCCGGTCGCTGATATATCGCCCAATCAGAGTATCAAAGAGAAAGATGATGAGATATACAGGGGGAGTGCTAGCTAACGCAGGGGACACAGGGTTAGGTTACGCGGGGTGGGTGCGGGGTTTGATAAACTTTGACTGTGAACTGTGAACTTTTAGCCTTTGAACTGTGAATCCTGAGCCCTGTGAGAGTTTCATTGTGTGTAGCAGGGTCGGTTTTGGACGGAGAAGTTGTTCCCGACTGCCACATATCACTGTAGTTTTACCTGTAACTCCTTAACATATGAAGGCACATTCAATTTATGTCCATGTTCATAAATTGACTTTCTGGCTTTTTTCAAAAAGGGGGAAACTGGGAGGTTTAATAATAAGCTTATCGGAAGTGGTTTGGGGCAACTTCTCCAAAAACATAATGTGAACTAAAGCAGTCGGATGAGTTCAGGGAACAGCCTTAGAGCTCCGAGCTGTCTCTCTGATTTACCGGTACTATTTAAAAGTGCGGAAGTTAACACCTCAGGATCGGGATCCGTTCATTTTCAGTTCAGCCCGGACTCAAAACAGTAATTGAAGATGCAGTTTGTCCATTTATGGCAGCACATTTGTGGCACTAGTTATTATTTTCTATACATATTGTATATATCCTCCTTTCATATTGATTGATGGAAAAGCTCACTTCATTGCCGGCTGAACTGAAGGTGAATTGAGCTCAATCCTGGTAACATTGACCCCCATTTCTCTTAGGGTTTGATGAAGGGAAACAGCTGTTTGGGGGGGGGGGGATGTCAGAAAACTAATGAATCTCTTTTAGATGGTAACGTAAGATCATTGGTGCTTCCTTTTACCCCATCTCTTAATTTATTTTTTCACCTAAATCTTAAAGACATGATCAAATATTTGTCTGTCCGCCTTCCCGTTTCACCTTCCACATTTTCCTGTGTAGCCCCATTACTCACCTCACTGCCACCCTTTTCGCACACCTCCTCTCACCCTTCCTCGTCCCTCTTTAGGTTCCGTCTTCCGTTGGTGTCGCTCGTAGTTTAGTCAGGGAGGTTGTAGGTTCAGGGTACTGTGGAGAGGAGACCGCTGAGCTGTGAAAATGCTTTAAGGCAGAGCCAAAAAGACATTAAAACAAACAGACGGAAACTTTTTATTTTTTGTTTGCCCACTACCTCTAGGTGAATATCTTACCGATGAGTTTAATATAAAGTTGTCTGTTCTTGCCGGAACAATTGTCAAAGATTTAAGCTGCAGGAATAAGCGCTGAGAAAATGCTAAAGCACACACATCTCTCTCTTCTCCAATTGAGGATCTGCAGAAAATGAATTTGTATGTGGCGCACAATTTAAAGATAAATAGATGGAATTGGCAGAAGTCTCATGTATTATTCAGAGGATTTGTGCTCCATCCATGCAGCTGTCACTCACAGCCTCTCCTCCTCTTTATCTCGCTTACATGTGCACACACTGTAGACTGCAAACACACACAAGCCTATACACACACACACACACACACACGTCTTCTGGCTGGGACTGTCATATTTCAAACACCTTTACAGTTTTTACTGTGACAGATTTTAGAGAAACGTCAATACTTATGACATTTATTGCTCTCTCTCTGACATATAACAGTTTGTGCACTCTCTGTAAACTGTTGGCACCATTTCAAATTGAAACCAAGCAGGGATTTGAAAAAAAAGACTAAAATATATCATTAATTAATTAAATCTCTATAAAAAGGCATTTTGACTGGGAACTGATCACCCGTTTTCCAATTAAACATACTAGAATACTTGTATACACGGTATGAGGCTTTAAAACCATATTGTGTTGGTGTACAAATAACAACGGGTTTTTTACACAAAATGATATGTGTGATTTGCATATGTATCAGTATTGCAACATCCCTTATTGGCACACAGTCAATTCTCCAATGCATTGGCCAATAATTGGTGATCTATCACCTAGAATTAGTAGTCCTGCAACATAAACAACGACACAAAATCAAATACTTGCCACAGTTTTTTACAGATTTAATAAACATATTACACATTAAAGCTCTTATCACATCACTGAACCACACCTGATTACACACACACACACACCCACACACACACACACACACACACATACACAGATACAAGAGGAGGAGACAACACAGCCATAAAGAAAAGGAAAGCGCTGCAGGGACAGTTGTGGAGAGAGCATGAGTAGCTAGTGTAAATGTAAACAGCATTTTTGTCAAACTTTTTTCTGGGGCTGTGAGTTAAAAAAAAAGTGAGTGTGAAAAAATGCATTTTTGTTTTTCTTCTTTATACCTCCCTAAGCCACCATTGCACTGTTTTGTACAAACCAATCATGAAACATCACCAAGCTGAAGCCGTCACGCCACCACTTTGAGAGTTATTACCCTGAAAATAAAAGATGTTTTCAATCTCAGTCATACTGTTTAATTTATGACACTGCTGTTTTACCCGCTGTCTTTTAACGCCATAGAGGGAGCCTAAAGGGACAACCGTGCATCAACACTGACTCGCTCTTGCTGTCCGTTACATGTATATATCATTTTGCAAGCTAACTATAATATCAGCAGTTGTTATGGGCTGTGAAAGAGGAAAAAATGCTTTCTTCCAAGCAAGGGCTTTTAATTTTTAAAGGACAGGAGCACACAAGGGCTTTTTATGCTCAGCGCTGCAGCTGCGTCGTTTGAGGGTGTTATGTTGAAGGAGAGGCAAAGTACATTTGCACAGGAACAAGCGTTTTAAACCAGCTGAATAGCTAACTAACGACATAACACGCTTCAAGCTAGAGAGAAGCAGAGAGAAAAATATGTTGCTTCGTTGGCTAACTTTAGGTTAGATGGGTAACTCTCTGAAAGTAATTAGAAATATTGCCTTAAGCAGATGGTAGGTTTAATTAAGAGTTAGCTTAAGGATGAAACATATATTAGCAACATATTGTTAATCATAGGCCTACTTGGTGCCAAATATTACTCAAAGTGTTTCCTGTATATCTTGGCCTCCAGGTTAGCTTTAGCTAATTTACGCTATTTTGCATAGGATTTCCTGCAGTATACTGACTCAGCAGTAGTAGCCATGTAGCTCAGCACATCGAGGGCCCCTCGGATCCTGAGGGGGGTCATCGTTCAGACCCGCATCCATGAGCCATGTCAGCATTGACCTTTCAAAATCATGCATGCCATATCCATCCGCTTCCAGTGCTTACATTCGCTCTATCTATAATCAAGTCTCAAACGGCACCCTGACTCTATCCTCCGTAGGGAAACTGGACTGCTACATTTAAGACGCCTTACAAGGGTATGGGCCCGTAAGCCTGTGCTGAGTTTACTCCAATAGAGCGCAGGGTGCTTTTTGAGACCCCTCTATCTCTTCTTACCGCCATACAGCTTTGATACTCTGATATCAACAACAAATAATTGTATTATTAGTAAAAAAAAAAATTCTATTCTAAAGGTGCCACTGTGCAGAGGATGAAGGACTCTGTCACATATTATAGTTATTAATCTATTAATGGGAAGGGGCGGGTTTGTTGATCGAAAGGGAGCAGAGTTGTGAAGCAGGGGATTGTAGTCTTTGTAATATTATATTATTCTAGTTTCATTTTCTACTCTTAATGTGGTTTGTGAGATTGTGTTTGTTTCGATCACATCTGAAGCCTCTGACCGGAGGAGAGGAAGAGACAGTGAAGCGCTCGGACGATCTCTCGTGGACATTAAACCTCACCTCACCGGGGCCAGAGGTCCACCTTATCAGCGGGACACTCAGCAATGAAAGTGCAATACACACAACACACACTCACACACACACACACACACACACACACTCACACACACACACACACTCACACACATGCATTCAGGTTACTGTACTTTTGAGGACTTGTTGACCCAATGCACTGCAGGGAAAAGTTGTTGGATACAGAAAATAATGCAATCCAATGAAGCAGTCTGTAAAGATAAATACTTTTATGAGATTTAAAATAATGTAGTTGGTTTAAGGCTGACAGTTTAGATTTCAAAGAAGTATTATGTTTGCAGGATTGCCATGTTGAAGGGTATGACATTGTACAGGGGGTGCTTTTACTGTTTGACCTCCTTTTTATTTTTTAACAACAATTCGAATGATTAAAAATTGTATTTCATCTTAACTTTCACTGAGGCGCCAAAAATAAGTCCTCTATCCTCCTTGTTCTTAAAGTTAAAGGTATTCTTCACCCCCAAAAATGGTCATTTGTTTATCATTTACTCCCCCTGTGATACATTCAATTCCTAAAGGAAACTTTGTAATTCTCATAAGAAAATTCTCATGTATTAAAGTAAAGTGAGCCCTGTTTGACAAAAGCAAAACTCCATCCAAACATCCGTTTAAAAACTCTAACACATGTTGTGCAGTATGAACCAAGTCTCATTTACACCCTTCCCAAACACATTCATTTAACTAAATGTGTACTATTTAAGCGTTTCGGTGTAGGAGACTGTTAATAAATCAGATGATACCTCAAGAGTTGTATGAGAGTTTATCCACAGATGTTTCAATATAGTTTTGCTATTAAAAGCAGCCCATATTGTCTTTTTTTAACCAAGAATGTACCCAGTTTTTGATTCTTTGTTTACTGTGGAAGCATGCTAGAAAAACAAAGTTTCCTCCAATAATTCAAAAGTACAAAAGAAAATCCCTAATTTTGGATGGATTGTGTGGGATATTGGTCCTCATAAGTATAGAAACACAGACATAAGACATTTAATGAACATACAGACATTGATACATGTACAGAAACACACACACATACATCACACACTCACAGCTTCAGCTTCGGCCCGTGTTGTGTGGGGATAAGTGTGTCCTGTTAAAAGAAAAATCACTGTGTCATGTTTGGAGAAAAAAAAATCATTGTAAGTGTTTCTTTGGGAGAAAAACAACAAACTGTTTCTGATGTGTCGCTCCTCAATGGAAAACTTCAAGTACACTGAGCCAGCTAATCAAACACGGAGGAACTGTGTGAGAAATGTGAATTTAATGGAATAGACAAACACATGCTATTAGCACTCTACACTTTGCACTTAATACCAACACACACACACACACACACACACACACACACACACACACACACATACACAAACAAGGTTTCTGTGTGAGGAGGGCTTACGGGTGGAGTTATGTGCCTGCATGTTTGTGTGTGTTATATTCATGTGTGTGTGTGAGTGTGTGTTTGTGAGTGTGTGTGTGGTGGTGTGTGTGTGTGTGTGTGTGTGTGTGTGTGTGTGTGTGTGTGTGTGTGTGTGTGTGTGTGTGTGTGTGTGTGTGTGTGTGTGTGTGTGTGTGTGTGTGTGTGTGTGTGTGTGTGTGTGTGTGTGTGTGTGTGTGTGTGTGTGTGTGTGTGTGTGTGTGTGTGTGCAGTTAGCCTCTCCTCACCCATGCACCCAGTGCCTGCCGGTCCTGCCTTCAGACAGCTCCCAGATCAGCCATGGGGCTTCCAGTATAACCTCCTCTGAATTCCCACGACCTTTAACGGTTGCGCTGGGATCAGTTTTAGAGCTAACTGCCCCGATCATTCCTCAGCAGACGCAGCCATACAAGATACAAGGACTGTTTTGGACTAAGTGGATATATTATAGACAGGAGTTTTAGTACAAGGATAAAAGGGAAGTCATGTTTTGTTCCAGGTGTGACTGGACTGTTGTCTTTTGTTTTTTTGCCATTTCTGTCTGTGAAGCTGATTTAGGGTCGGCAGAGGGGGCTTAGCGGGATAGACAATAATCTATCGAGTCCCTAATGACAGCTGGTCTTGAATCAGCACAACCTGGTGTAGGCTGCTATTTCTCGTGTTCTCAAATCCGCAAAAAAAGAAATGAAAAAGGGACGAGCTCTTCGGCAATACATGCTTGTAGTTGTTTCTATATGAGCTCTTATACATGAAAGTGTTTCTTCTAGGTTATCCTACTTGTACTGCCAATTAGATTAATATGTTGATGTGGGAACATAAATGGAAAGATTCTGGACAGGTAAATTGTTGGTTCCCTTGATAGTATATACGATTAAAATAGCCATCATTTCATGAATTATTCTGGCCTTGGTGCCTATTAAGCCTGTTTTCCAGACTGTCCTCTTCCTGTTTTGTTTTTTGGTGCAAGGCTTTAGCCCTTTAGCTAGAGAGATTTCATACCTGTCTTGCATTTTACACATATCATTTCTGACAGGAAGTACACAGCGATTAAAATTAGCTTTTTACAGTTTTGCCTCGAGCCCCACGTTCAGACAGTGTTGTTTACATGCAGAAAATATCCGAGGCTGGCATGGTTGGCTGACCAAGGATGAAAGGCCCAAAATGGCAGAATGTTAAACCAGACTGCGAGAGTTCGCTCTGCATCAGGTGCATTCAGGCTCCCTCTCGCATATACATTGCTCATAAGCAGTAGCAAGCTTTTCGTTTTGAAGATAATCATGAGTTGGTCTTATACAAAAAGATCATCTGATTCTTGTGGAGATCACATTTTATTGAAAGAGTCACAATGGATTTTCAGACCAATTCTTATAATGTATGTGATATACGTCTATTGGACAGATTTGAGTTTGAGTCAAACTCTCATCAGAAAAAGCCATACCCCAAAGAGACAGAATGGCCCATCACCTTGTACTGAGCCATGTTTTGATGCAGTCAGGCCAGCGAGTATAGAGAATACAACATAAAACAATTTTGGTACAATTTGAAAGTGCACAGACTGTACGGTTTTTAGCCATGTTAGCAAAATGGCTCTTGATCTGTTTGGTCAAGACTTAGAAAACATGACAGCTAATTAACAGATTGTCATGACATTTGCTACAGATATTCTGGGTTCCCAGAGGATGAATCTTTCAAATATTGGTTAACCCCTGACTAATTGGCTAACGGGCTAAACTGTTTAACAGCAGCAAGATGGCATTGTCATTGTGAGCATGTTAGCTTGCTGTTGTTAGCATCACTTTGCAGCCTCACAAAGCCGCTAGCATGGCGATAAACTCTCAGTCTTGCTATTGAAAGTGCAACTCAAAAATACAAACCATTTAAGCGGTGAAGTACTGGGACCTGACTTTGTCCTTTTCAAACTGACTTGCGGACTGTTAGAAAACAAATGCCAGAACACAAACTCAGGAGAAGAGATAGAGAAGTTAGTGACATTGTATCTGTATTTAAAGGTCCCATTGGAAGGACACCACCAAAACAGAGTGAATAATGCAGAATATCCGTAAAACAAAACCTAATATTTTACTGTTATCCTGCTCATTATGTGTGTAGCACTGACCTAGCAAACAGCATAGAGGTTTTCTCAGTCAGGGAGTGTATCTTGCAGGAATTGTAGCAATTTGCTTTGAGGAGAAACTATTCAGATGAAGATTAGGAGAGTAAATAGCCACCAGCCTTTTTTCTCGTGTCTTGAGGGGTGACACTGGCATCATTAGTGTTTCCTTGCAGCAGTGATGAAACTGAAACAAGAAAGACTAATGTGCAACTTAAAGTAACAATGACAAAAAAGGAAATCCCACAAAAAAGTGTTTAATAATTTTAAAACACCTAAACGTATGATGATGGGAAATGTGTTTAAAGATGGATGGTGATCAACTATTTTGAATTGTGTGTCAATGGGCAGCTTTTTATCCTGCTCCATACCTCTGAGCCCTATCATGAGATACTTAGTCCTCTACAAACACACACACAAACACACACACACACACACACACACACACACACATGCATGCAGAAACATGCTGGCACTCACATTCATCTTTCTATACACAGGCATACTGACTGTATAACTCTCCTAGCTCACACACACACACACACACACACACACACACACACACACACACACACACACACACACACACACACACACACACACACACACATATATATAGCTGCCAGCCAGTTTCACTGTATACTTTATAATGTAAACCTCCAACTAACAGCAGTCTGACACGGACACATGCTGTGAATAAAAGCACACTTTTACTTACACGATATAAATATGATTACCTATATCTAGAGAGAAGGAATATTATATACAGTATAATGATTAGAAAATAAAGAGTCACCTTTTCAAAGTGCCTGTGGTGGTTCATTTCATTCATGCTTGTGTGTATGTAAATCTATGATGTGTGATCTGCTCTTATATCCTGAACACACTCACTTGTTGGGTTTTTTCAGAAAGCGTACCACACACCAACATAAACCTGCAGAAATTAACTAGATGCATATCTGCTGTGCTGTGTCATCCGTTCTGAATTAGCCGTCCGATAGATAACTCCCCTGCTTATCTCCACAGCCACCACGCAGATGTCTGACGGAAAGGAAACAGGCGGTATGAAGATGAGAGTTGAGAAGGGAAATGGGAGGGAGTGGGGAAAAGTTAATGAGGAGACTGGAGGATGTGCCAGATTTGAGGTGTTTGAAGGTAGGTGGGGGGAGGGGTTGCATGTACAAATATAAGTACATGTGTGTTTTATGGTTGAAGTATTATTCTTGCATTTTGACTATATCAATTTTTCTGATCAGATTCTTAATGAAAAGTATGCATCTGATAGCATTTATGCATCCCTGTAAGAGTGCTGCATCATTCATGTACAGTGTGTATCTGTGTGTCACATCAGGTGGCTTCCATCTGTTACCAGAAAGTGTTGCAGGATCAAATGATTTTGAGGAATTATGGTTGGTTGGTGCATTGGCGTACACAACTGTCGTCTAAAGCAGCCATTTCCAACACGGTGACCCTCAAAATTAGACGCAAGATGCTCATGCTAGTGCTAATGGGGGTCCTAATAAAGAACAAGATTAATCTAAGGGGTCACAAGCTGATTTTACCAGTGCCAAATATGTAAAGAAACTTAAATGTGCACAAACAATTTTTCAATTTGCCTTTTTTTTGCCAAATACTTTACAGTCTTCATGCCTCTAAAAATTGTTCTGATCCGTCCATCATGGTAGGTGTGACACATGGACGATGATCGAGTTGGCTCCTGCACAACATGAGGAGTGTTCCCCCTTTGTTTGCTTAGGATGAGGTCTACCTCGAGACTTCTGCTACTTATGTAGTACTTCAAGACTGTGTTTTTTCCAGGGCAGTACTGCTTCTCTTCCTCTGTTGACAGCAAAGTCAGATGGTCGAACAGCATCCCAATTTCCCTTTCCCCACACATTGTCAACGTAGAGGGTGGGGAAGATTTCCAAACTTTTCCTTAACCATGCTCACTTAATGCAAGTGACGTGAGAGTAGGCATGATTTTGGTATCTATCTAAAACGTTCTTAATGTTTTTACAGAATGACCTGTCGCTTTTCATTTGTACAAACCAGTGCAACACTATCAATAACTTCAAGGAGAAATAACAGATCTCAAATGTGCATAGCTAACCCAAAAAAAAAAGTTGCATCTCTTTGAGTTAGGCCATTTAAAACGGGTATAAACACTTGGTTGTTATCGCACCAGTGTGGTTGACTGATACATTTTACGCCAGTCTTAAAAATG